CAATTATTCCTAGTGATCAGTTGGTAGTAATTGCTTAATCATTTCTATAAAATCAGTCAGTCAATCTCATGTCGAAGGCGTAAATCCTCCGTTACAGTCACCTGGAGTTAAACAATACACACACACAGTTACTGTGATTTGGGTGAAATTTATTAGAACTAACTACGTGAATAAATGAGGTTAAATATACATCAAAGAAATAAACACTGGATAAACAGAACAAAGTGCAGCCAATGGGAATGGTGAAGGTCAATGTGAATTTAGTTATTGTGGAGAAGGATTTTAAGAGAGAAAGAGAACCAATAAACGCAAGTTATATGATAATAACTGAGTTAAATTTGGCTAGGAGTTTAGGCTGAAATGATTAAGGATTAAAGCTAATAGATTAAAAGACTATTGGACATTAACTCAACCACAGAATGCAGCGTGTTATATCCTTACTGCTTGTTGGTTTCTCAGCCGGATGGTGTTCGGGCGGCCCCACGCTGTCTGAGTTTCGCGCGTTCTCGGTTGAGACGGCTTAACACGCCGTCTGCCGGTCGCTTTCTCTGCCAGGGAATTGCTCCGGAGGTCCGCCAGTTTGGCTGGTAACTTGGTTGAAGAAACTTGCAGTGATGGCTGTTAACCTTGGCTCGGTTCGTGGGCTTTGATGTCCTTTGAGCTGCTGGCATAACTAACCCACGTGGCTGGGCCCGAACTTTGGGGAAGCAGTAAAAGTTAACTTGACCGAATAAAGCTTAAAAGAAACTTGGTGATTCTTGAATTCAGAGTTGCACGAGTGAAACAGTCCGATAACTTTACAAACAAACAAAACAAAAGAATAACTTCCACGAAGGTTCTCCAGACCTCGCTAAGTAAGTTACTCTGAGACATGGAAAACTTGAAAGTCGCGGCGCTCGCCAGGCTGGACTTAGGGCGTTGCTGGAAGACGGGGGGACGCTCCGTAAACGTGCAGGGCGAAAACCAAGAGCGAAGAGAAGAGAGAGCGCGTGTCTTGCGCTGAGTTTTGTTTCCTGTGTCCCAGGAGGCTTTAGTTAAGGTCTCCTGAGAGATCTGCGTGTATTTCAATCAAATTCCTTCCCACAATCAAACCTTAAATGTCATAAACGGTTATACTGTTCTTAGTTTTAAGCGTTTATAAAAGGGAAACTATTAAGTAATCATTGTAACGATTAGAATGGTTACCAGTTAAACACATTTTCAGGATTTCAGAATGAAAGAAGCTCAACATTTCCTGGATAATATTGGCTGTTACACATTCTTACTTAGAGAATATAAGCAAGTTACACCAACATGGCATCAGATTATACAAAATAAAATACAGACTGATACATTAAACCTCGGGAGACACATTACATGTAATAGTACTTTTGTCCTCTGGGGGTAGCTCTGGTGCCATGAGAGGAGACTGAGATGACTTTGATTATTTCTTTAAAACAATCATTTGGTCAGGAAATTAATTATTTAACACATGATAATATTTCTATTACATGTTCTTTAACAAGAAAATATATAAAAAGGTGTTGAAGCATGGCATTAGTATAACATAAATTAAAGGATCATCAGTGAGTATTGAGAAAGATTAGAACACTGCAAATTAACTTTCTTTATGGATTCTTCTTTTGAACAACAACTGCATGGTAATATAACTACTCAAATGGAGAGACCTGCTAAGTAACTCAACAAAGATTATTTAATTAAACCGTAATTAGTTTGTGTTGGTTTCATGGCTGGAACTACCCAAGCAGCACTTGGGAGTGGAGCAAACCTTTCACCCCCTCCTTTGGGGTACTTCAGCTGTCTCTTGAGGGTTGATATCTCAACCTCCTTTGGAATCTCCAAATTGTTCGATATAAAATAATCAAACCCACACTGGCTGGTACACTACAAATAAATAATATTGCTATAAAGTGTTGGCTGATGTGCCAGAGACACAAACATTTAGTCATTGCTGTGTTGGAGAGTGTGACAGCTGCTGGGATGAAGGAGCTGCTCCTTCTTTTAATGTGTTGCAGCAGTCTGATGCTGAAGGAGCTGCTCAGAGACCTCACAGTCTCCTGCAGGGGCTGAGAGGTGTCGTCTGACTAACATGCTTCTCTCACCCTGCTGCTCCTCTGTGGTGTCTGGAGGCCAGAACAGGACAGAACTAGTCCTCTGAACCAGTTTATTGAGTCTTTTTCTGTCCCTCTCTGTGCTTCTGGCTCTCCAACAGAAACTACTGCATAAAAACTGCAGATACCACCACAGAGTCATAGAAAGATTAGGCAACAAAACTACTAGATTAGGTTTAGTAAAGGATCGTGGTCTGGGTGAAAACAACTACGTTACTCCAGTTATTTTAAAAGAATAAAGGTTTAGGTGTCTAATCCATCTATCCACCCCAAGCTTACCTAAACTTTTCTGTTATTTATCCTACACCTACTTTCATCAACAATGTTTCTGAAAGGCTTCCAATTGCTTTATAACACACCAAGGGATCTTGACCATGTGTCCATATGTGAGGACTTCAGAGTGAGAACAGGTTGAGCCTGACATTCCTGCTTCCTTCAACATTTTGTAAATTTAATTTAGTAAAACTCTTCTAAAATCCACATATATCTCTGTTAAAATCATTGTTACTTCAGTTTTAGGTTGATTGATTTTTTTACTGTATTCTGCTCATCAGTAGGTATTTGTAGGCTTTTAGCAGCTAAACTCCATATTATTACTGCATGGCTCTTTTTCTGCTGTTTATATCAGATCATAACAAAATGTTAAATTCTCGTTCCAGTTTCTATGACGGGTTTGAAGAATCAGGTGGAGTCAAGGTTTTTGGGAATCTGTTCTGTGCAGCAGCAGAGAGAGAACAACAGACAGGAGAGAAGATACTGGAGCTGTTATCCTCAGTGTGCAGATATCAAACATTCCCTTTTAAAGAAGAATACTTGGATGATGACGATGATGATGATTTCAAGGGTTATCAGAGTGGTTTCCTTCTGGATCTGTGCTCCCACCTGAAGGACTATGAGACTAAAACAGGCTTGAGGGTCCTTCCATCATTACAGTCAGTTTTCCAGTCAGCTCCTGCAGTCTGGTCCATAAACCTCTCAGAGAGAAGACCTCCATCCTCCTGGAAGTGCTGAAACTCCAACCAGAGAAGAAACCAGTGAAGCTGACAGGCTGCTCAGATGAAGAGAGTGAAGTGAGGAGTTTCCTACAGTGTCTGCCTTATATCTCACAGCTCAGGTAAGTTGTAGAAATATGTCAATTTTTTCCTAATCTACGGTCATATACAAATAAACATAATGTAGATAAGGTTGAATGCCATTTCTCTGTTTAGTAATTATTTAGCAGTACATATTATCACAGCTAAACAAGCATATACAATTAGAGTATTCCATCCTGTGTTTTCTCTGAATTTCATCCTTTGATTGAAAGACTTTGTATATTAGATGGTTTGTAACCAGGGCTTGACTTTCTTTGCTCAACAGCCAATGCGGCTGGTGGTTCCAAAGTTACTAGCCATGCAGCATTTTCACTAGCCACATTTGTGTTGTTGGGAAATTAAATTTTTCATGATTAAAGTGCTTAAATTGGCGTGCTAAAATGTACTAATATTATCATTAGCTCTGATAAGGTTGTGTGTAAAAATCCTTTTTGAAAACATATAGTCTATTAAGATAAACACAATAAGAGCAGCTTTTTCTTGTATATAATAAAAGTGCTGCGTGGGTGTAAAATATAAACTGAAAACTATATTCACCAGAAACATTGTTTAAATCCTATTTATTTATAAAAGCAGCAGGCTAAATACTGTAATACAGAGTAGAAAAATTATCTGCATTAGAAACAAAGAGCAAAGATGAAAAAATCACACACAATTAAGGCAATAGGATTAAAATTTCATCTATAGGCCTATATCATTTTTGTGCCTTTTTGGAGTGTTTGTTTTGCATCTGCATTTCCTCAGAGCTCTGACTGGATTTATGTTTATCATCATGAAGCTCTGCAGTAGCTCTGAGTACCTGGAGATATGAATTGAGTAAACAAGTCTTTGTTTTCCAGATTATTCCTCTTACAAACGCATCTTCTGCTTTCATACATGGCATGAAAACATTTTATTAAAACATGGAATCATCTCTGGAAATGTAGTTGTGATATGTCGAAATGAAGAGCAGCCCTGCTAGTAGTCTATTGTTTTCTTTTATAAACACCAGCATTTTCCTTAATCATGAAGATATCTATATTTGACAGCATTTAATGGCTTTCCTTCTTTCTCCGCCTCTGCTCTGCCTTTTCTCTTTCCTTCGTTCAGCTGTGCATTTCTTCTCCACACCGCTCGGCCACGCGCACTCAGCACTGACTGAATGCTGTGTTGATGTGTGTGTGCATGCGACCAGTAGCGCGTGATGACAGAGATCATACCATCAAGTTAAAAGTGATCAGGAGGCTGACGGTCTACAGGTCTGAGGGACTGTGGCTGTCCTGTGACAGATTCAACTTTTATATTCTCTTTGACAAAAGTCTGGATGCCATAGGCTATTTGACGTGCGCGCTCGCAGGAGAGGTGAGAGAGTGAGACGCGCCTGATGTGTGGATTCACCTGCTTTTTGTCATGGCTGCCGCTGGTTTAGTGGATAATTAACGGCGGGCCAAAACAGCCCTTTGGTCCGACGGCCAGTCCGCGTGTTTAATCTCCACAAAGTCTTCTTGTTTACAGTGTCGTTCGTCAGTAGCGCGCAAGACAAATGTTTAACTAATGGACCAATATGTGCGGGTAGTACTCATAGGAGTTGTAGTGTTATAGTGTCACATTGCAATTCGTTTGTTATTTATGCCTTTTGACAAGACTACAATTGTTCAACAGGCCGAAGTGGCTAGTGGGAGTGACTGTGTTACCCTCCACAGCCGAAATCCACCCGCATTTGGCGGTTGTTAATGTCAGGACCTGTTTGTAACTCAGTATGTGCTGTACTTTACCTCTGCTGTTTTCACTCTTCATGCATCACTTTGTGTTTTAGCTGTGATCCAGAGTTCTTCCAGAGTCTGTGTGCAGTCATCTCTGTAAGATCCAGAGAGGCCGAGCAGTTGGCCTCTGTGCTGCAGCTCCTGGGCTTCAGCCTGCTGTTAACAGGAGAGTTACACAGGAAAACCTGCAGGTCTGTGGGGAGGGTTCTCAGACTCTGTGGCTCTGATGTGGATCTGGTCCTCACACCCAGAAAGATGTCTGTCAGAGGAGCCTCCCTCCTCTTCAGCTGTACAACACAACTCCACAGTCTGAGGTTCACATTTATATCATTACCTTTGCTCTTTAACACCATCTCCTCCAGTTGGATGTCCAGTTAGTGCTGAACGTCTTTTACATCACAGCTGCTCTCTCTTTGTTTTCCAGGCTTTCCAGCGACATGGCCTTGCTACTGTGTCGATGGGTGAGAAGAGGGAGAGCGGCCTGTCCGTTGGCTGTTGAAGAGCTTTCTCTGGCCCCTCAGAAAGCCCGACCATCAGACAGAGTGCTGTTGAAGGTCGTCAGTAGTTTGGCGTCCCTGCTGAGATCCTGGGCAGTCAGACGGTTGGACCTGAATGAGTTCTGCGTCCCTGCTCAGGGTCTCATTCCTCTGCTGCTGCACGACGGCCCTCTAACCATCAAGTAAACGTCTTTCCTGAGCCTCATCAACACGTACTAATCAATGAACATGCTAAATGTATTAATACTTCACTTTTTATCTGCAGACTGAGTCAGGAGATTTTCCAGCAGCTCCTCTCCCTCCTCCATGAAGTCCAGGACGAGGTCTTGACCCGGTCCTTCTTGAGTAAGGTTGGTGGAGACCTGAGCTCCTGCTGTCTGAACTGGGAGCTTCTTCACTATCTGCTGCAGTCGTCAGCTCAGACCATCGCTGTGAACCTGAGGAAGAACCTCTTCTTACAGGAGAGCGTCACACGTCTGCTTCCCTTTCTGGACAGGATTGTATTTAAAAGGTGATCACTTTGTTTGTTTTTACCAGAAACAGACGTCCAGCTGATCCTGTTCAATCTCTTGTGTTGTTGTGGCTCATGTTTTACAGCAGTTTGTTCATTCTTTGACTGAACAAAGTGTCCTGGTGAACACACTTTCTGCTTTCAGGCCCAGTCCCGGCTTTGTGTTGACTGCCATCAGAGAGATCTATAAAGCTCGTGCCAGTCCCATTATACCCAGTTTACTGAGGTCACTGGATCATGTGATCAACCTGACCTGCAGAGAGATGGACTCTGTGGACTGTGCTGCTCTGCTCTTCACCCTCAAACACAGTGACAGAGTTAAACTGAACCTCCAGTGGACCTCCATACCAACAGGGGACACAGAGTCCATCCTCTTTACGCTGGACAAAGTTTCTCAGCTCAGGTCAGACATTCGTTTCTCAGAGCTGTGCCTGGATCAGTCCTCTCCAACACACAGGAGATAATGCACCTTTACCTGGAGCACCTTAGAAAATATATGACATTAAAAGATCATTCTGATTCTTTACAAACTGGTTCCAAATCTTCAGCTTATCTTTAATAATCCTTTAATATTATTTTTGGTGTTTATGGTCAGATTGTTTATATTGATGTATTTTTGAATCCATGTTCCCTCCAGTGTGGACAGGAACCTGCTGCTGAGGCTGGTGCACTGCTGTGCTGCCTCTGACGCCCAGCAGGGGGCAGCAGTCGGCCTGCTCAGGACTGTGCAGCACAGGCTGGATCTGTCCTGCTCCTCCTGTGTGGAGCTGCCAGAGGAGGATCAGAGCGAGACTCTCAGTCTGACCGGTGAGGACTGCGGGGCCGTCTCCGCCATCCTGAGACGCAGCGTCCGGGACACACAGCTCAACCTGCAGGACTGCGAGGTGGAGGACAGCGGACTGGACCTGCTGTTTCCTGTCCTCCGCAGAGTCCGCCTCAGGTGGGAAAGACCACAGCGTGACCTAAACCAGAGAAGGAGCTTGTTCTCATGTTGATGCATCGTAACAGTCTGTTCTTTGCTGTTTAGAGCCAGTAAAGCCGTCCTCCTCCAGCTGGTGTCCCTGGTTCCTGTGAACAGTGAGGGGGACACAGTGAGACGGGCGGTGTCCCTGTGTAGAGCCCTGGACGGAGAGCTGGACCTCAGTCACACCTCACTGGATCAGAGGGCCTGTGGAGCTTTGGCCCTGATGCTGGACTTCTCTGAAGGGCTGACCGAGCTGGACCTCAGTCACTGTGAGCTCACCGACCAGCTGCTGCTCACACTCATCACACATCTGCACAAAGTCCAGGTCCTGGAGTGAGTGTCCCCCTGTACACACACATGTGATCATGTGACTAAAATGCGTACAGCGCTGTGTGGGCTCTGTCCTCGGCAGTAATAAATGTAGCGCCGTGTCTCTGTTTGTGTTTGTGTGCATGTTACAGTCTGAGTCACAATAAGATCTCTGATGCTTCAGCTGGAAAGTTACTCCACCTGGTCTCCATCAACCCCTCCATCGGCACTGTGCGGTGAGCAAACATTAATTAGTGCTCCGTTCATTTATGAAGACATTTGTGCTCACAGAGAAATCCTTCATGATCTCAGACGAGTTCAATTCCTCCTGTTCCTCATGTTATTGTGGCTGAATGAGTAACGTTTGCTCTCTGCTCTGGTGTTTTTCTAGACTCTTCAGCAACAACATTGTGGATCGAACACCCTTTAAGAAAGACAAGCGGTTTGAACTCTGGTGACCCGCTCGTCAGCGTGGAGGCCCCAGGTGGGTGCTGCACATTGGTGGAGGCTGAGAGGAGTATCTGAGATAAATGGCTGTATAAATGTAATCCATGAAGAAGACTTTCAGGTGTTGTTTATCGTAACCAGCTACCTGATAACATCGCTCACATGTTCATCAGTTTACAGTTTTAACATGATAGTTGATTACTTGTTAAATATGTACCGTTCATCAGCTGGTGGTTCTTCGTCCCATAACCCCCTGCTTCTGTCTCTGGACTGAAAAAGTTCATGGTGCCTCATGAGGACTGAACTGAAGTCCTCTATGATCCTGAACTGAGGGCCTGGAGGTCCTTGAACTGTCTCAGTCTTTCCTTTGGCTCCAGGGACGGTGATGTCGGCTCCGGTCCCTCCACCACTTTGGTCCAGGTCATGAAATGTGGTTCAGACCTTCATGGTTCCCAGAAGATGAATCCTACTGACTGTGGTGATCTTTATGTTTCTCATCTCTAAAAGCTGCTCGGTCTTTCGTCTGGACTTTAAATCTTTAAACTGTTCTCAGAAATTTCTAATCAGGGACCCTGTTTTTTTTTTTTCCAAGAGACAATTAATCCATTACCAGATTAGAAAACACTGTATGAAGTTATTTCTGCCTGTAAGTGATCTTTTAAAAACTCCTGGTTCCTTCACATGTTAAAAAACTGTTTGTTAAATCAGAGGCCTGAGACAGAACCATGGATTGTAGTTTGGACTGTCATTTATCATTATATTATATTATCTCTTTCACTATTGTTTGCATTATTGACATGTTTTAAAAGGGGAGGGGGAAGTGAAGTTTGGGGGACCCCTGTGATATGCAAAGCAGAACAGGTGAGACTTTAGGGGCCTCTGTAACACAGGGGGGCCAGAGGACACAGGAACATGACACTATTAGTGGATTATATGTTGGAACCTCCTGTTAACTGTGGATATTACTGACCTGCAGCGTCGGCCACGCTTCATCCTGGTACCTTTGTGTTTGTCCTCTAAGGAGGAAATCTGTTTGAAATCGGACAATTTAAGTTAATTGAGCGAACGAACGTTTGGTCTGCTGGGACATTGAGGTTTTCTGTTCTGAAGCCTCCCAGCTAATCTCAGCAGGTATCAGATCCGCCTTTTACCTCATATTGTTTCTTTTGTACCTTTCCCTTGATTTGCTTTTGTGTGAATTGTTACTAAAATCACTGCACTCTTTATTTTACTGACCGTTATTCTATGTTATATTCACAAATTTAAGTTTTTTAAAGTGAAACCTGAGTTCTTTCTTTTACAAAAAGCCTTTAATGTCATGAAAATGAAAAAGCAGTGAAGTCTTTAGTTTAGCAGCAGAATCACACAACACACATTTCTTTATTCCTAGTTTGTCTTTGTTCCGGCTGTTGGTCCTTTCTGTAGAAAGTGAAACTCAAAGCCAGGTTGTTTGTATCTGGAATATTGATCAATAAAAACAAACTTCTGCTGCTTCCTGTTTAATTATCGTTTGAGAGGTTTCCACCAATCAGAAGCGGTTGCTAGGCAGCGCTGATTCACCTGAGCAAACACCTGTTTTTATTATTTTGTTATTATTTTGTTCCAATAAAAGCAGAGTGTTACTGTGAGTGTTTGTTGTCTTTCTCAGGTCAGGACCAGGGAGACTGATAGGATTTTTGCAAGGCTGATACTGATTATTAGTAGTCAAGTTGGCCGATATTTGGAACCGCTATGTATTTGTCGTAAAGGTGAAAATCTCCAACACAAACGTAAACATTTTTTAAAATAAACAAGAAGTCACCCTCTTCTTCCATCTTGCTTTAATATTCTGCGTATAACCTCTTTCACATGACTGATATGTTTATCTTTTATTCCATGTGTATATTTCTATGATTATTTCATTGCCTATTTAGCACATGTCAAAATCAATCAGTCTATCACACACATATGTTGGCAATAAGGTTTCAAAATGTTGAAACTTTCCTTTGAAAGGGTGAATCTCATAGTGTATTAGTTTGTTTTACAGGTTTGAAACCTTGTAAATGGTGGTCAGAAAACTCTTATGTGCTCTTATGTTGGAAAAAAGATTTGAAACTCTGAAAATTAACTGAGGATCTGAAAAAATGCCGGGAGGCAGGGCCATCTTGGCCGATGCTCGGCTGTCTGCTGAAGTACCGTCCAATCACAAGGCGTATTTCAGGAAGCACTTCTCCCTGGACGGGCTGGCTGACTGAACCAGTGGTGACTAAGAAATAGTATAAACAACATGTAATTAGTTAAGCTATGAGGAGATGAAGCTGAAGCTGAAGCTAATGATGGTCAACGAGACAAATCTTGACAGTTATTAAGCTGAATTTTATGATTTTGTTAAGTGTGATTGTTTTTAGACCATGTTTTATGTGTGGTCGTGGAGGCAGAGAGGATTTCTGGGAGTCTTAATTTCTTTAAACTTTATTTGAAGGTGCCCTCTGTAGACAGAACGTATGTGGTCTAACAAATGTGTTGAATGCTTTTCCCTCCTCATAAAACATTTCCACAAGTGGAAGTTTATTTGATTAATTGATTTACTAGCTGCTTGGTGGTGCATTACTGTGACCAACTGTCATTTAACCTTTACTACACCTTCCTCTTTCTCCTGTAAGATCTAAGAGCTGCTGTTTCCTGTCAGGCTGCGGCAAGTAAACAAAACGTTACAACACAAGTTAAAATTATTTTTTATACTATTTTAATAGAATGCAGTTTAAATGGTGATGATGAAAAAACAGTGGGGACAATATGACCTGGAATTATTATTATTATATCACAGATTTTCAATATTTCCCAGCTGTAAATAACAACTTCTAATGACATCATTCATTAAACTAACTTGGACCTGGACAAGTTTGACTTTTAAAGTAACGTGTCTGTCCCAGTGAGCTCTTCACATTTGAGAAGTTCTAGTTTGGAAAAGGATTTTTCAGCAGAGGCCACACTCACTGGGATTGTTAATAAAAGCAGAAGAACAGTGCAGACTACCCCAAAGCTTTTCAGAGGCGGTCTCTGAAACACCTGGGAAGGACAGGAGCTGCGTGGGAAATGTCCAGGTCATGTCACTTTTGTAAATACGGCATCTGCTTGCTCAGAAACGTGCACAGTGCACAGTGTTTCAGGCTGTAGAAGTTAGAAAGTAACGTTACTCCTCCTCATCATCACTGAGGTGGATGGTGCGATGCTGTTGCTATGGCAGCAGCTGCCCCCTTCGGCTCTTGTTGCTAACAGCTCGTGTTGCTGCCATCCCGTCTGTCTTTTTAAGGAAAATTAATATTTGTTATATGAATCTTTTCTTTCTCGGCTGCTTCTTTCAGTTTTCGCTTCTGAAACCCACTTCTGTGTTCGTTCATATCGAGTTAATTTCCCGGTTGCTGTCATTTCACCAGCTAGCTGCTCTTTTGTGTGGAGTTGAAAATGACCCAGAATTCTGTGCGGGCCCACACTGCTCATCTTTAATCTAAAATCTCCCATGAATTCATCCTTGTTTAAACTGAATGTAGATACTATCTGCAGTCTGTGCTGCCCTCCTCTCCCTCTGGGTTCTGTCTCTGCAAACACAAAGCTGCAGAGGCAGAGCGCCGTCTGCTGGCTGCAGTCATCATCACTTTTTCAAAGCATTTGTTAACAATGTTCTGAAAAATAGCAACAAGAAATGTTAAATAACAAATGAAAATGCTTTCAGCACAATTGCAAGCACAAATATAAAAAATGCAAAAATTGTTGTCATCATCGTCTAATGTTTGATCATGATTGTTTCACTGTTCAGATATTTTGATGTTCTGACACCTGCACAGAAACAAAGTCCTTAACATGTGAATCAGGGACACAATCTAAACTAGGGACTGAACTAAAACTATAATCTAACTAAAGATAACACAGAAGCATTATAAATAATAATCTATGAACCGTATTTAACGACATTCCACTGGCACCTTTACATTTTAATCTAAATGTCCTCATGCAGCCTGTCTAAAGGTTGAACTGTCAGATTTTACATCCAGCTTTAGAAAATATACGTCACCATGTCACATGACCTGGTGGCCGCAGTTGCTTTTCTGAGGCTGCACAAAGTTGGAACCAGACGTTTGGCTGGTCTCGCGGCATTTTTCTTTGCAATTGCCGCGAGATCAGTCCTTGATCTCAGCTCACAGTGAGCTCACGCAGGTACAATGTGTCCGACTTTACGGCTTTTATACCCGCCCCTGCGGTCACCTGCAGCTCGTTATGCCGCCGTCATCTCGAACGCACCTATTGTCTGCAGTAGCCTGTTTGTTGATTCACCTGAGCAAACACCTGTTTTCTTCCTGTGGACGTTTCCAGGCGCCACGAGGGCAAAAACAAAGTGGGAATAAAAACAGGATGTGACTGAAACTTCATCAGTGAAGAAATGTGGATGGTTGAAAGCTCCGGTAGGTGATGATGACAGCTGGACGGCTGGAAGGTAAAGCTAACAGGCTAACTGATCAGCTGTAGCTGCTGCTCACAGTTACTCAGGAGAACTCTGCTGATGGAAGCTGATTTGACCATTCCTGGATGAAATCACCTGCCTGGGATCAAAGACAGTGAGAGCAGCTGATGTTGGGGAGGACAGACAATTGCTGAAATGCTAAATTATTATTGATGCAGTCAAAAACTCTCCAACCTCTTTGCGACCAGAAGCTTTTTGCTTTTTTAGCCAGTGGGAGCAAAGTAACACAGGCCTGTTCAGATCCTTAAGACAAAATAAAAGTACACACTGTAAAAATACTGCAGTGAAAGTTAAATAAAGGTATGTAAGTAGGCTGTAAGCTGGAAAATGTAGAAGCAGCCAATTAAAATAAAAGTAGCTACTCAAAGCAGAAGAAACTGTCCCATATGACTGTTGTACTATTATATACTATATCATAGATTATTTCCTCGTGCATTAATGTAGCTGGTTGAGGTTGAACTATTTTGTATCAGACTGCAGTTAATGAGGATTTTTTATTTTAATCAGCTGATTATTTTCTCCATTAATCGACTGTAATAAATTCTGCAAATAGTGAGAAATGTTGTCACGGTTCCCTGAGTGACACCTTCACAATGCTTGTTTTGTTGTCCAACCTTAAAATGATTAAATAAATCAAGTAAAAGCAGCAAACCTTCACGTTTGTGAAGCTGGAACCATGAAATGTTTTTACATGACAAAACATCCTATTTTAAACTCTTCATACATTTGATGTATTTTTAAAGTAACTAGTAACTGAAGCTGTCGGATGAAGTAAAAAGTACAATATTTTCCTCTGAGATGTGGTGAAGTAGAAAATGGCATGAAAAGAAAAACTCAAGTTCAGAACAAATACCTTGTGTACTTCAGTCCAGTACTACTTTCAAATATTTACTTCTGCTGCTGGAGCTTCCACATAACAAGTAAACATTGTAATATAACTGCTTTCTCACACATGGTTCACTATTGTTACAAAACACATTGTGCAGAATTTTCTGATCTATAGCTTGATTTGTTTCATTCTACATGCAATTATTATGCATTTATAGCGCCTCCTAGTGGTCAATTTTAACGAGTAAAGCTGATGATACACGGAGCAACTTTTAGAGCAATGGTGCTGTCAATGGTAATGAGTACAGATCACTACTGTAATCCCCTTCTCCCGCCACTACGCCCCCTCCCCGCACGCCGCTATCCGTTCAAAACATTGCCCAACAACATTGCTCAAAAAGTTGCCCTGTGTATCATCAAAGTGTATGTGTGAGGTGCTTATGTAGAAATATCTTACAAGTTTTGTGTTGATTGGACAAACAATTTGTATTTTGTCACCTGCAATTGGTTTGCATTTATAGCGCCCCCGGGTGGTCGATTTGAATGAGGGCATGTTGGACTCGGGATCGATTCCTTCCTTGTGACGGAGGGTCTTTTCTGTCTGTGCAGCTCCATCAGTAAGGAGAGGGAGAACAAGTGTCCTGGGCCCTTCAGTGAGAGCAGCAGAGAGGGAGCATCACCTTCACCTGGAGTCCAACACCACGACAGACGGATAACAAAACTAAATCCAGCAGAAACGAGAAGATGACTCATGTTGTTTTCTTCTGTTTCTTCCAGCAGCTGAAACTGATGAACGCCTGACGCTTCATTTCCACCTTCTCATGGTGACACACACTCACTTTCTACTTGGTGCTCCTCATGATATTTGGCTGAAACCTCGTCATGTCCCATCTGAATATATTTCATGTCCTCACTCTACAGATTTCCTTCTACAGTCCGGCAGCAGCCTTTCCCTCAGACCAGGTCAGCACATTCTTCTTCTTCTTCTTCTTCTTCACATGCTCACACTAAATGAACTAACACTAAATACACTTGCTACTGTATCAGCTTCAGATTCTACTGATCCACTGCTCACCTGATATTACTGACATTACATCTGACCTGGACCTCATTAGACCTGGACTCCACTACATTTCAGGCCAAATGCTGCACTTTTTACTCACTCTGCACATTATTAACACAACACACAGTAACTATCACATGTTGATGGATCATGTTAGCTTCAGATAGCCAGCGCTATATAAAGGATGCTTTATACTGTTACTGGGACTCGAACACAGTACTTTACACTGTGCCGCTGCTGCTTTTGCTTCTTCCACGCTGCTTCACATCACATCTCCATGGAAACACTCTGTTTGTTGAATGGATTATTGTTTCTTGTCTGCAGCTTCACTCACTGATGGATTTTCAAACTGTTCACTTGTCACAAACCTGTGGACTCATTTCTTCTTCTGTCTCTTCCAGGCTGTTGGGACACGCCCTGAAGACTCGCTTCCACTGCTGCACCTGGAGGACAGCTGACACCACGAGTCCCAGCAGCCCTGTTCTGGACCAATAAAGACCTTGTGCTGTCATCTTCCACCTTTCAGGAAAACTTCAGCACTTCCTGTTTCCCGCTCCATAACCCCCAGCTTCTACCTCTCCAGAACACCGGGAGGGGACACGGCCCCCTACCGAACCCGACGCCGCGGGACCGGCTCCGGGTACCCGGCCGCACGCGGATTCGAACCACCGCTGCGCCGCCTGCGCCTCGCGGTCGCCATCGAACCCCACGCCGCCACCGAGTCCCCTTCACATCTGAACCTTTTCTCCGGGCGCTTTTCTTCTCACTTTGGCTGTTGGACTTCAAAAGTCACTGAGCCTCATAAGGATCGAACCCACAACCTCAGAGCTTCTGAGCAGCCTTCTAACACTCTGAGCTGTTTGATCTGAGACACTGACTCTTTCTTTCTTACAGCTTTTCACTTTGTTGTTAAAGTTGAAATAATAATCTTATTATTGTAGTTCTTCAAACTAATCAGTAGAATTAATCCATTCTCAGATATTCTGAGTCAAATTTAACAAACATATAAGGATTTCTAACAAATAGAATTTCATTTTGTGAAATAAAGCTGAATGATAAATGTAAGTTGAATTTCTAGGCTTTTATTTTGGTATGTCCGAGTCAAACAGTCACTAAAGTCCGTTCAGAGAATTGATGAAGTTACTATTTATTACTGCATCATTTTTTATAGTGTAGAAAAACTAAAGGTGAAATATTCAGATGGAAATGATTTGAAAGAGAAAACTTTTTCTGATAAATAAATGTTTGATTTTCAAAGTTGCTGTCGAGTCTTTTTCTTTAATCGACTAATATATAATCGTTTGACACAAGATGAAGTGAACTTTTTATTTGGCTCCAATCAGACACAAACGCTCGTTCATCATTTATTCTGACTTTGATCCTCTTTATCCTCCCTCGCTGCCTTCC